CAGCAGGGAACAAAAACCGAGAAACCTACTAAAAATCTCCTTCTGCAAAATACTGATGTAAATGTGAGGCATTAACCCATCTCTACTACATCATCCTTGCTTGTTTTCATTATCCATAGCAAAACCTCTAAAAGTGAGCTCTAAAATATGGCAAATTCAATAACATATTAGAGGAAAAAGGCACTAATCTCCAGAAACAAGAGTTTAAAATCACTTAGCATTGGAGCCAGAAAGCAAGGATCAAATGCCCATCAGAAACTATGAACAATTATTCAATTAAATGAGATTGATGCAATATTGTAGAAAGTATTTAAGAAAACAGAAATCATTAATTTGGGGGGAAAGATTTTCTTGGGGAGGAGAGATAGATTTTATGTGGCTACGTTGCTTCAGCTAAAAATAGACATCTGATAATAAAAGTCATAATAGTCTCTCTTCTCACTGGCAATTAATAATAACCATATAGAGTTTCTATGGTGAGAAATTACTATAATAGTCTGAGAAGACGATCTTTTTACCAAATGTCATCCCTCTAATTTTAGAAGGATTAGCAACCAATTCTTGCTAAAATGTAGGCACACATACAAAAAAATGTGAATCTTGGTGAACGTCAGCCTCAGGTTATCTTCAGTCTTCACATTCTTGATGGTCCAGGAATGATGCGCGAGTTTAGGTTGGTTCTAGGATAGGCCCAGGGGCCTGGTTTGATCTGGGATCCCTGGGACCATACCTAGAACAAACCCAAACAAAACCAAACTCCTTGGGAGTCCTTTCGGCTCAGGTGGACTTCTGGGTTTTTCACTCACATGGACTCCAGGTCTGTACCAGCACCACACACCAACCTTTAAGGGATGGGAGTAACATATCTGGAACCTTCTTGTACATTGTCATATGCTAGTACTGTGCCTGAGTAAGTGCTATTTAAGTCATAGTATGAACAGAAGGCACAGATTGGTGCAATAAAAGTGCAGAAAATACTTAGATTTAGAAATGGAGTTAATTTCCTTAAGAATTTACTTGGGAAGGGGGAAAGGATATGTAATTGTTTTGGATATTATAAAAGAATAAACTTGTAAAAAGACATGCTTAGTTTTAGAAAAAATATTCAATAATAAACTCATTTGTTGGTAGCTGATCTATAGGAAATGTTACAAAATTGAAAAACATAAAGCCTAAAATAGTAAAATTATCCCTTAAGAAGCTCTTAAGATATAAATATGAGAGAAAATATATATTTCTCCAACCATATCTCATTGAATATAACCATTTTTAAAGATAGTGCAGTTAGAACTATACACAGCTCAAATACTGTTCTATTGCAATAACATGTTGCTAAATGAAATTCAAGACATAGAAATAAAACTAATTTTATGGCTGACAACCTAAAATATATTAAAATATATAGCATTTAAAAAATACCATATGCATTGTAATTTATCACACATTTTAGGATATCCATAAAATCAATTCCTCCTTATTCATGCTAAACTTTTGCATGTGTGAATCCTGAAATCAATTTATCCTCTTTTTGATTTACAGCAATTACACTGGGTAGAATCACTTTCTTCTCACAACTACACTCAGAGAGAAGCTCGCTCCTTCTATCACCAAGCCGGGTTTGGTGTTGTGACTATCTCTTCTGGAATGGCAGTCTCAACTCAAGAAATGGTTTGGATAATTTATTTTTTATGAGTATTATATCATAGCTCCCTTCCATTAGCATGGATAACTAAAAGCTGACTATAAGGCATGGTCATAACATGAATAGATTGATTTTCCAATTGCTCTGTATGTGATGGAAGCATGAGTCAACATATGGTTACTAAAACATAATCAGCACATTGGTAAAAATAAGTTGTTTGATGCTAGCAGATCCATTTCTAGGCAGATTTGAATTTTACTTGCAAATATTATAACATGCAAATTTCAGGTTTACTTTTCATTCAAGATAGAAAAGTCATCCTGCTTGATTATTTAACATATTAAACGATAATTTAAACACGCCAAATATAGAGTAACAGTGGGAATTTAGTCATTTGAATATCTGTCTATATCATTAGATCTAACACTGATAATTTTTGGTAAGCTTTTAACATACACTTCCTTTAGCTGAATAAAAATAAAGATACTGTTTTAAAAAGTAGCATAATCAAAAAATAAATCCCTTATGGTACAATTGCCTAGACTCTATAAACCTTATTATTTCTCATACCTCTGTGATATCAATAATGAATGTTTTCTTATTTTTCAGGGCTTAACTATTTCATGTCTTGGAAATGAAGATATATTTCTCTCTAAACAACAAAAACAAAAAGCCAAAGAAATTCTTAACAGCATGTGGTATCCAATTCAAATATAAAACACTATAGAAAACGCTAACTTGAGTAGATCAGTTTTAATCAGAGCTAAAGAATTATAGAACTAACTTTAGAGCAAGTAAAGTATGGAAATGAAATGGTTCCTTTCGTATAATAATAATTCTTCTATCTTGAGAGCAGGTATAGAATCCAGTACCTTCACATATTTTAAAGATAGCAGTGAAATAGACAGTGAGTAGTAACTGTCACAAAATCCACACACTTAAGTATAATCTGCCTCTTCCGGTCTTCACTCTGAGTCTATTCACTTTTACTTTATACATAATTCTAACTGTCTTAGTCATTTGGTCTCCAAAGCAAAAGCAGATCAGAAGGTACCTTATGAAGTGGAGAAAGGCTAGTGTTACAGGCACACTTGAGTAAGAAGTAAAATAAATGGAGGAATCGGAATGACTATTAAAAAACAAAGGCATGAAAACTAAAACAAGCACAGCAGAATGGAGCCATTTAGTACAGGGACAAACAGCTCTCAATGTCTAATTAGTCTAGCTGAGTATAATAACTCACGTTAATGACTATTTTTATATCAAAAAACTTAAATATATTTCATATATTATTTAAGAAGAAAGAAATGCATGTAGTGTCATAAAGATTTCCTTCAGAAATTATTTCAAAAAATTTTAATGCTGAAAGAAGTTCAAGCTCTATAGGAAACTGGGATATCTAGAATGACTCATTCCCCAGATATTCAAGTTAGCCAGTTCTTAGTAAATTCCGGGTTTAGTTTCAAACCAATAGTTCTAGAACATAAGTCTTAGTGAATAGAGTTGAAGTTACATTTATAATGCTGTAAGTTTTAAATCTGTGTATTGTCCTAAGAACAATTAATGAGAACAAAATATTTGACATTTTCCTGAAATACACATAATGATTTATACAAAGATGATAGTCAAATTTTCTTTTACAGCTGAATTCATTAATGGAGAATCCTAGAAACATCAATATACAAAAACTCAATGTTTTAAATATATGGCAATCACATATTCAACCAAATATTTTTAGCAAGTTCTTAGTAAAGAACGAAGAGGCAAACCAAAGAATGCTAAACAGCCAAACAATTATCACAAAGTCCATGCACTTTACTGACAGAAAAGCCCCTCAGCTTTCTTTCAGTCTACTTACTCTTATTTTAGATACAATTTTAGCAAGCTTGGCAATCTGGCTTCTCAGTCCACAGCAGATTAGAAGGAGCAAATTAGGGGCCTATTGCAGGAGGCAGGCACACAAGACAGCAGCAAAAGTGACAGCTGATTGTAAGGGAAGATAAAGAAACTGTGAAAAACAGACATAACTCAAAAAGCATAGCAATGTGAGGTCATGTAGTGAGGGGGCACATGACACCATATATCTCAAGAGCCCCTGAGGGTGAATTTCTGTTAATCGCCCCCTGAGAGGAACTGATATTCTTAAAGATGATAGAGAAAAAGTTAAATTATCTTCTATATACTCTAGAAAAAGTGAAGAAGTAGAAAGCATACCTAGTTACTAAAATGTTAAATTTAATGATTAAAAGGATTTGCCTTAGTTAGCTGAAAAATCAACTTATGCAAGTTAATCACCTGTCAACGATGACAGATAAATGAATTGTTACTGTACTTAGGCATTTTTCCTATGTTTTCTCTTCTAAAATATTTGCAGTTTCATTTGCTACTGTAAGTATGATTTGCATAGACATGTTTTTATTAACAGAATTAGAAAAATAAATCAATCTTTATGCTTTGGCTGTCATTCATAGTATAGTATGTACTTTAGTTCAAAGAATGATTTAGCTGAGCTATACCACAGTCTTAGGATACTTAGCTCTTGTTTCCTCGTTTTGTTTGGGTATAGAAATATACTATGATTAAACCAAATTGGTTGAACTTTTATCCCCATGATTCTTAATACTTTGTTAAAATATTTCATATTTTACATTACTAATGGGAAGTAAAGAGTCAGAATCACCAGAATGAAATGAGCTCTAGGGTCTCTTCTGACTAACATTCCACTGACTTATTTTGTGGAATATATCGAAGTTGATTCTTTCTATGCTTTAACATTAAGAGCTTTATAATTTTTATTATGTGAATCAGAATATTACTATTTATTTTTAAAGAAAATTGAGTTTTAAATTGACTTTCCTATCTGTAGGTAGACAAAGGGTAAAAATCCTGTCTTCGAGAGTGACCTAAATAGACTCTCACATGCATTCTTCTGTTAACTACTAGGTTTGCCCTGATTGAACAAACTATGGAAATCTTTGTATTAAAAGCTGTCAGGATGCTATTCCTAAAAAGTATTATACTCTCAAATAATATTGTAAAATTTAGAAAGCACAATTCTAAGTTTTCTCCATAAAATATTTTCCCCAGAGGGCTTCTTCTGGCTATAGGATGGCAGCTATTAAAACTAGCCAAAACATTTTACTCTCTCCAAACTAGATCAATATATTTTTGGGAAGGAGCACTCATATTGAATAATAAGAATAATAAACAGCTTTAAAAGAAAGAAAAAGTTAAAACCTGATTTTTAAAAAGTAAAATATTCTTAGAAAAGTAATGAAAAATAATACCTACTTATATTCCATTGGCCTTTTTGTTTATATTTCCTAAGGTATTCATGGCAAGAACAAAGTCCTAGACAGAGGTTCTTAGATTTTATTGGGCATAAACATTACCTAAATGACCAAATGACCAACTAAGAATCACTGGGAGTGTAGCTTAAAACCTCCATTTAAAACATAAGAATTCTAGTTTATTCTGATGCAGGTACCCCACTAAAACAACTGAGAAACACCAACTTAGAATAAGAGAAAATTAGTTAAGAAATTTTCACAAAGAAAATAATATTTTACATTGGAAATATTTTAAAAGATGAAAACTACATATAAGAAAGAATATTCAATTAAAGTTCCAAGATCTGTATATCATAATTTCAACAAGTAGAGTTTTCATGGAACTAAGTAACAACTAGTGAATAAAACAGATCAGCCTAAAATATTAGAAATTCCTGATTAAAATTATTTAGTCTTTCAAAATTAAAAAGTATCATCTTAGAGAACATTGAATAAAACTGATCCAATATTAAGAAGATATTTCCCAAAAATCAGGGTAATAAAAATAGAATACAATAAAAGTATTAAAAATTATTAAATTCTAATTCTTCCTGTGTATGGTTATAGGTTAAGAGAGAAATTACCAAGTTTTTCCATAATTGCTTCTTCTAAATCCAAGGAAAAATGAAGTCAGCAAACTAAATAAGAAATCTAAATAAGAAAATAAACCCTAAATATTATTATTTAAGAATATAATAGTCAGGTACAGCACGAGAAGATTTTTTTTCTTGAAATTTAGCTATTTCCAAATGGTAAAGTTAGGTATTGCTCCTAAGAGGTTAATTATGGATAAGTCCCAGAATTTTGGCAAAGGCAAAATCACTTATAGAGTACAAAGGATCTCTACCTCAATCATACAAAGCAGAACCAAGTTTTTCCTCAGGATGAAAAATAAATTTCCTTAGATTATTGAAAGAAAAAAATCCCCTTCAGTATAAGTAAATTTACTCACCAAAAGTGCTAAATTATAGAATTAGAATGTATTTCTTAACTCTAAAGACAATCTAGATTCTCATGTAATTTCCTTTCTAGGAAAGTGAATTATTCCCACCATTTTTCCTAAATAATGTCTATAAACTATGTCAGTGCATAGGAGTTACAGGTTTCAAAAACAGTATACTTCTGAAAATATCACTCTTTGAAAAATGCAGTCACAACACATAACAGATGAGATTGGCCAATCTGGAAAGCAGTCTCTTTTAAGAGGTAGTTTGTAAATGAACCAAGAAGCTGGCAGGATGTTTCCTGAATGTCATTAGGGTGGACAGGGCTGGAAAACAGCAGCACTGTGATCTGCCTGTGCTAATGGCACCCAATCATCTCTAGGTAGACTGATACAAAGAACTTTATGCTAAGTTGGGGGCCTGGCCTTGGACTACAGGGATCCCACTTTGATATCATCTCTTTTAGTTGCAACAAGAATTGAAGAAATAATAAACAAAAACATTGAAGGTGTAATTCTTAAAATGGTACAATGTTCTTTTTTTTTTAAAGATCATTAAGATATCTTAAAATTAACTACTAAATACACATGAGCAAAGAAACTTAAGAAATATGTCACAACCCAAGTACTTTTCAAACTACTTTTTTGTTCCAAACCCCAGCACACATCAATTGTATGAATTAATTTTTTTTATTCAGAACCTGTATCTTTGTTTGAAGACTGGTATAAACAAAAATAAAATACAAACGACTGGTTATTAACATAATAGCTGCAGTTATTAACTGCAAGAGTACAGTAAAAAGGAGGCATACTAAATATTAATGTTCTTGCAACAGAATTATCCCTATTACCTTATGGTAGCAAATTCTGGCAAGAAATGATGATTCATTTCTTATTAAAAATACTTAAAGAATTCCCAAGATTGATCAGTTGTGTCACAAAGAAAACAGCAGTTTATTCAAGAGAGCCCTTACCTTTCTCTTATTTTCCTAACAAATCTGCTTTTTACAGGTAACTACTTAATTTCAGATCAGTTATTCAAACCCGGGTTCTTCTGTAAATTCACATCTTAGCTTTATATATATATAGTAAACTTATACTCATTTTCCCTTTCCAGTCTTGAAGCTAAACACTTTCATAAAAGGAACAATCTAAAATCACTTCATGTGAATCTTGGTTCTTACTTTTCTTCTATATCATTTTTATTTTCTTCTATTATTTGTTCTTCCTCCTCATCGCCAAAAGTCTGTTCTTGCATGGTGGTAAAGGAGAGAGATCTAGCAGCCACTTCTGCAGCGAGGCCAGCAGTGAAGGTAAAATCTGGGGACAGCTGTAGCCGTGCCAGCCTGTGCTTAATGGAGGGCTGTAATGAGTCCCTGTGAGTTGGAGGGGCAGTGGCCAGGCCACCTCCATCTGCCTGCTGAGATTCATCTTCACTCTCACATTGGTAATACATTCTTTCTTCTGCTCCTTGGAGGAAGGCTTTGTTTGCAGAATTGTCTTTATTTTTATCCTCTACAGGGTTTTCACATAAATACTCAGTCCTACTTATTTCACTGTCAGTTGTGGAGGGTTTACTATTTTCCTCTTCAGTATCATTTTTACCAACTTTTCCCATATCTGAATTCATTGATGTTTCTGAATTACTTATGGGTTCCACTGGGTCTACAGGAGACAAGGATTTCAACACGGCTTCAAAGAAAAAACAAAAGAAAAAAGAAAAATAATAACTAAGGACCTAGCAATGATTTAAACTTTTAATTTAAACTCCCAGTAGGTTTTTAAAGAACAATAAATAAATAAATAAAAGCTAAATAAAACATTCTAGTAAAATCAATTAATCAATGTAAATTTATAAATCCAGGGAACTTTATAAGAGATAAAATGCCTAAGAAATTAAATGAGTTAGGAATTTAATGAGTTTTTTTTTTTTCTTTTGCCTGTTTTAGAGACAGGGTTTCACTCTATTACCCAGGCTGCAGTACAGTGGTGTGATCATAGCTCAATTACAGCTCCAAACTTCTGGGCTCAAGTGATCCTCCTATTTCAGTCTCCCAAATAGCTGGGATTAAAGGCATGCACCACCACGCCTGGCTAATTTTTAGATTTTTTTAGAGACAGGGTCTTGCTATATTGCCCATGCTGTTCTTGACCTCCTGGGCTCAAGAGAACGAGCCTCCCACCTTGGCCTCCCAAAGTGTTGGGAATACAGGAGTGAGCCACTGTGCCTGGCCAGATAAGGATGTTTAAAACACCTCACGTACTATCTTACTCAAAATATTAAAGCGGTGGTTCTCAAAGTGTGGTCCCTGTACCAACAGCATCAGTCATCACCTAGGAATACATTAGAAATGTGAATTCTTGGGCCTTATCGCAGACCTACTGAATTGGAAACTCTGGGAGAGGGGACCAACCATGTTTTATAAACCCTCCTCTTGACTCTAATACACACTAAAGTTTGAGACCAATTGTATTAAAGAATAAGCAGCATGGTTTTCACTGATAACGTGTCAGATAAAAGGCCTACAGTAATCCAGATAATAATCATATCTTCAACATATATATATATTTACAAGTTAAAACAGCATGGAAAAAAAAATGCAACATACAATTCAACTTACTTGCCAACCACCAAACAAGACCCTAATGAAAGTAAAGCCATAACTTCTACACATTGTGTAGTGCCACAGAAAAATACAAATGAAATAAAATCTGCATTTAAGATCAACTATTATACAAAATATAATACATAAATATAACATATATCCATACGGCAGAAGTTGTCCTTGCAAGGAAAATGAAGTTTTATTTAGCCCCTCTTGATGTTAGTAGGCAGTGGGTTGCTTGCTAGGCAGTCTCTCCTCCCAGCATGAGGGGGTTAGTACAATACAATATATTATGAAGCATGACGGATGAAAAAAAAGTGCTTCTTGAAGATCTGGCGTGTATTTAAAAAATACTTTGGGAAACGCGTCCATTTCCAAGAAACATCCCTAAGCTGCAGTAACTCCACTAGAGAAGCAGCAACAACAGAAAAAAATGGCAGCAGGTTCCAGTGTAGAATTTCCCTTTCTAATTCCATTCGGACTTTACAAACCCTGTAGGCAGAGATGAAAACAACTCTGGAAGATGTATTGAAATTTTTCATGGGAAAAGCATTCTATGGTATCAGCAGCTTTTTATTTATTTTTCACAAACTAAAACAGCATTATTGCCTTTTCCAATGCAAACTGTATCAAAAGCACATACCTGAAAAAGAGACACATTTCTCTCATTGATACATCTTTGCCCATAATGTTAATAGGATAATTTTGAAGAAAATACTAAACAATAAAAAATGATACCAGTTTATATACAGTACTATTTTCAGTCTATATATATTTTTGGTTTATAAATCTGCTAGTTCTTAAAGAATGCAACATATAGTAGAAGTTGATTGCTATTCATGATTATTGCTAATTAAGTGGGGGATATAATCTGTATAATGAGAGAATTAATTGACGAGTGTGTTAGAATGTAAGCCTCCAGGAGGGTAGGCATTTTTAAAAATTTTTAATTTTCATTTCAATAGGTTTAATGGGTACAAATGGTTTTTTGCTACCTGGATGAATTGTATATTGGTAAAGTCTGGGTTTTTAGTGTACCTATCACCCGAATAGTGTGCACCGTAGTGGGTAGGTATTTTTGTCTCTTGATCAATATGCTAGGGATACAGTGGTATGCAGTGCCTGGCATATAACAAGTACTCAATAACTACTTGTTGAATGAATAATTTGCTGAATGAATGCTGTGAAGATAATACGGCCCCCGTATTATCTTCGGAAGGAGATTATAATTCAGTTATAGAAACAAAAAAACTGAATACATAGAAAACAATAGTGCCTAAAACATAATACCATTAATCTCTGATTTATGTAGGCCCAATATATGAACAAGCAGATTGCAGGAAAATTCTTAATCATTTCCCTTCTCTGCTATACACTTTGCTGCTCAAGACTTTACATTTCACTACCTGGTCTCTCTAGCATGAGGCTCTATAGTGGTAGGAGAGGTAGCAGAGCTGGAGCAGTCAGAGAAGGAGTCATGGAGAAGGAAAGACTAATAGAGAGGATAGCTTGGTGGAGAAGACAGAATTCTTGGTAAAGGGATAAGCAGGAATATTTTTCATGGGTCAAAATAGCAAATTTGTGGAACTGTAGTCTAATAAGATAAACCTAAGTAGAAGAAGAGATTGATATTAGAAATAGTGAAAAATATAATTACATATATGATAGATTCCTATGATGAAGAGGCTTGAAATCAGGAAAAAGAGCTTAGATTTAATACGATAAGAAAGGGGGAACCACTATAGATTTTAAGATTGAGAGAGCTATCACCAATGCACTGTTTGAGAAAAATCTGGATAGAGCTTGCAAGATAGCTTAGAAGAAAAAGGTACTGAAAATGGAAGTCAGCTAAGAGGCTATGATAAAGTACAAGCATAATCTAATGAGCACCTGGGCTATAAAGTGGGCTTGTGGGAGGAAAAGGAAAGATAAAACCAGGAAATGTAGATCTGGACAGAGGAGAATTGTAGGGCTCCTAAAAGAAGAAAAGAGAGCCTTCCAGAAGGCATAGTTAATCTGTATACTTCTAGTGAGGAAGGGAAAAGAAGACACTTGATTTTGAGGGTCCACACAGATACTCTAAAAAGGAAGGAAAGTCTCACTCTACCTTCTTAGAAACCCATAGGCCTTAATTCAACTAGGAATTAAATTAGCAAGGTTGATATTGTCAAGTATCAAGCTTCCTCTCATTCCTTCCCCTTCTTCCCAGGAAGTTAGACTGAAGAAAAGAAGGGTAAGAAACATAAAGGAATTTAGGCTACTAACCATCCCACTCTGCCCAAATCAGAGTCTGGAGACAGCATACACAGAAATCACCTCCATATCTCTCATCTACTAAAGTGTTCAAACTACTCAAGTAACTCTAATTTTGTGTCTAAATCATAGGTCTTAATTCATTTTTTTTTTTTTTGAGACAGAGTCTCACTGTGTTGCCCAGGCTAGAGTGCCGTGGCGTCATCCTTGCTCACAGCAACCTCAAACTCCTGGGCTCAAGGGATCCTCCTGCCTCAGCCTACCGAGTAGCTGGGACTACAGGCATGCGCCACCATGCCCAGCTAATTTTTTTCTATATATTTTTAGTTGTCCAATTAATTTCTTTCTATTTTTAGTAGAGACGGGGTCTCGCTCTTACTCAGGCTGGTTTCGAACTCCTGAGCTCAAACAATCCGCCCGTCTCGGCCTCCCAGAGAGCTAGGATTACAGGCGTGAGCCACCGCGCCTGGCCTTAATTCATTTTTTTAATAGCAAACATAGTTATTAATTTTGTGCTTCACTGAGGTATTTTTAACATTTTAACATATGCAAAACAGAGTTTAGAATCTCAAATTCACTAGATTTGAAAATAACATTTAAAAAATTCCAAATTATTCAACTCACTGCCCATTCATTCTAAAACAAATTTAGTAAAAAATGAGATAACTGATGAAAAAGTGTGACTTCATATTCCCAACGTGATTACATACTTACTCTTTTATTGATCAAATTGATTTCATGTCTAGAAGAAAAAATATTATGCTTACTAGTAGATCCCCCTAAAATTAAAGCCACAGAATTCTACAACTAAAATAAGATTCATGATTGAAGAAAAAAAAGATTTCCTACATTGAGATTAACCTTTTATTCTAAAATCAGTGCTTACCATGATCACTAAATAGAAGTTGCTTCCACTTCTGCCTTTCTGCCTCTGAAGCTTTAAATCCCAGCACAGATTTTAATTCTTGGAGTACCCTCTTGGATTCTTCATGCTCACGCTTCTGTCTCTCTTTGTCTTCTTGAGACAAGTAATAAAAATCATCCTTTCTGAAATCACTGTCTATGTCTATATCATCTACATAAGCTTCTAATTCCTGAAAATGAATAAAAGAAAAATCATTTTACTTCAGGCAGACATTTTTCTAGTAAACATTCATTTACTTGTGCCTACCTATCTCCAAGATTAAAAAAATGAAGACTTGCTCTTGGCACAGGTCATTCAAGCAGAGCTGGGTGAAAAAAAAAAAGGCAAATATATATATACCTATAGAAAAATCAAAATCTTCAAAAAGCATAATAGTTGATACTACAAACAGTTATGAATAAGAAAGTTTAACAGCTTCAACTCTGGTACCATACTATACACTTAGCTAAGATTACAGTTATTAGCTATGTCAACAGCAATCAAATTGGAAGGGCTGGTAGTTTAGGGAGGTGGTTAGGCATGTTAGTTTTCTTCTGGTAGACATTTGTGATTCTTTCTGACTCCCCAGGAAGTTTGAACACTCTTTCTGGGATTAGGAAACACCTCATCTAATGGTTCTCCATATCTCTAAGACAGAAGGTAAGATACGTGCTTACGTAGCCTCCCTTGCAGTTTCGGTTCAGGCAAATGACCTGGGATCCTCTAATCAGATGTACCTGCATCAGATCTGATTCAGAAGTTTGTGATAAAAGAAGCAGGGACCTTGTGGAATCCATTCTGGCAAGCATGGCAGCAGATCAAGTTTCCAGAGGTAGTAGTTCTGAGGGTAGTGTTTACTATTCAGCATTGATGGAGCAAGTGGCAATATCTGCACCCAGTGACTTAGTAATACTATTTCCACTAGAATAGTTCTTTTGAGACATTTTGGCTGTTTACCCCAGCCTGGTTCAAGCCTGCTTTATCTGGTCCTCTGAAATATTCTATAAGCTAACTAATGGTTTTAAATAATTTGTCTGTTAAACTAACTGGAGTTGGTTTCCATTTGCAATTAAGAATACTGAATAAATACAACCTAAGGAAAAGAAGTTTTCCTTAGGATGAGCGAAGGTAATCTTTGTCAGTATCTAATGCAATCATCAAAAATTGTTTTTCAAAGCGAGACAACATGCAGTCAAGTGTTCAGGATTTTTACAGATGTATACATACTGTAACCATCACTCAGATCAAGACAAAAACATTTCCAGCATCCCAAAAGGTACCTTTGCCAATGTACTAATTTTTAATGTGTTTAATTACTTTTAAAAGCCTTTAAGGCCAGGTGCAGTGGCTCACCCCTGTAATCATAGCACTTTGGGAGGCCAAGGCAGGAGGATCTTTTAAGCTCAGGAGTTTGAGACCAGCCAGGGAAATAGCAAGATCCTATCTCTACAAAAAAATTTAAAAATTAGCCAGGTGTAGTGGCATGCGCCTGTAGTCCCAGCTACTCCAGAGGCTGAGACAGGAGGATCACTTGAGCCCAGAAGTTTGAGGTTGCAGTGAGCTATGATGATGCCACTGCACTCTAGCCCAGACAACAGAGTAAGACCCTGTCTCCAAAAAAAAAAAAAACCTCTAAGAAATGGACAATTGATATAAATAACAAAAAAATCTCCTGGTGGATTCAGTGAATTCAAATTCAAGGCACTAAGAACTAATCATTTGATAAAAATTCAATACATTATGATGTAATTTTGAAGCTCATTAGAAACAGAAATTCAACAAGTTATTCAACAATTATCCATGTCACTTAAAAGAAAGGTAGATAAGCTTTGTCTGTGAAACTCTTCTTTAGGGGAAAAAAAGTAATTTTCATCCTTACCTGCTCCTCAGGAATTGGATCTTTGTCTGCAATGTGTAGAGTGGGTTTCATCAAAGGTACCACAGTACAATGTGGGTTTTCACACCCTACTTCAGGCTTGCCTTAAAAAAGGGGGTGGGGGGAGAGGGTGGGAATAAAAATAAGAAACAGGCCCCACAGAAATGAGTGAACACCTAATTAAAAACATCCATAATACTTTGTCAATTTTATAGTCCAACTAATTCAGATAATAACTTTTTATGTATGAAAAATTAAAGATATTAAAATTAACAGTAACATCAGTACATTACAATTTAAGTTAAATTAAGCTTTTCGGAGGAAAGGACCTGGTTTTCTCCCTTCTTCATCTCACTGTAGTATCTGGTACACTATGTACCTTATAAATACTTGCTCAACAAAATTTTTTCATTCATAGCACAGTCTTAAGACAGACACCACTCTTCCTCATAAAAATCAAACTCAATCTTACACATATGTTGTTATAGCTCTCAGAAGTTAGATTTGGAAATGAGTTTCACAAGTAAATATCTTAAAAAAGCTCACCCAAGTGAGTTTAACTTTGATTAATTCTTAAAATTTGTGTTTGGTATCTAATCACAGGGTTAGTTGGTCTCATATCTAGCTCTCTACCTTACATTATTATCTTTCTACTTAGAAAAAGAAGTAAGAGGCCAGGCACAGTGGCTCATGCCTGTAATCCTAGCACTCTGGGAGGCTGAGGTAGGAGGATTGCTTGAGGTCAGGAGTTCGAGACCAGCCTGAGCAAGAGCGACACCCCATGTCTACTAAAAAATAGAAAAAATTATCTGGGCGTTGTGGCGCACGCCTGTAGTCCCAGCTACTCGGGAGGCTGAGGCGGGAGGATCACTTGAGCTCAGGAATTTGAGACCTGCCTGAGCAAGAGCAAGACCCTGACTCTATTAAAAATAGAAAAAATTAGCAGGACATGGTGGTGTGCCCCTGTAATAGGTCCCCGCAACTCTGGAGGCTGAGGCAGGAGGATTGCTTGAGCCCAGGAGTTTGAGGTTGTGAGCTAGGCTGATGCCATGGCACTCTAGCCTGGGCAACAGAGAAAGAGAAAGACTCTGTCTCAAAAAAAGAAGTATGGTTTAAACTTCTAGATTTTTACCTTTCAAGAGTAATGATAGTTATATGAATTTTTAAAAAGAGAAAGAAGTATGTGGGAAATGTTATAAAAAGATGATTGGTTAGTTGGCTGTAGGCAAAATGGCTAAATGATAAATACCTAAAGATAAATTAGTATGCAGCAATAATGACAGAATAGCATAGCGGCTAAGAGCTCCAGAGTGAGACACATCTGGGTTAAATCCCAGCTCTTGCCACTTTCTAGCTTAAGTCACAGTTATCTGTAGAATAGTGGTCAAAATAACAGTATTATAAAGATTAAATAAGAAGACACGAAAAGTGCTTAGAACAGTGCCCAGTACAGATTATATGCTCAAAAAGTTTCGTTATTGCCTACTTTGCAGAACATAGATTTCATTACATCAATGGTGACACTACATATTGAGCTCTTTCAATGAAAAAAAAAAAAAGAAAGAAATCCAAGGTACTACTACTAATAGCAATAAACAGGTACATTAAACAGTATACTGGTAATCCAGCTCAAACAAAACACCCAATTTGTAGCATTTGCTGATTTCCAGTTTGCATGGTGTAAATACACTCACTGTGGCCAATTTTAAGCTACCAACAATGTTAAACTGGCTCACGAAATTCCTGAATATTTAACAATCTCTGGAGTGCCAGCTCCAGCATGCAATTCTTTTTTTTTTTTTTTTTTGAGACAGAGTCTGGCTCTGTCACCCGGACTACAGTGCCATGGCATCAGCCTACCTCACAGCAACCGCTAGACTCAAGTGATTCTCCTGCCTCAGCCTCCAGAGTAGCTGGGACTACAGGTGAGCCACCATGCCCAGCTAATTTTTCTTTTTTTTTGTACAGTTGAGGTCTCGCTCTTCCTTAGGCTGGTCTCAAACTCCTGAGCTCAAGCAATCCTCTTGCTTCGGCCACCGTGAGGAGCCCAGCATGCAATTCATTTAATAAAATTCTACTGAGCACTTATCATGAGCTCAACAATGAACATACACTCCTGTGTGAGCAGGGGGTGTGTATATGCACTACTGAATATACTTGGATGAACTTTTACATTGGCGTATCAGATGGCATTTAGGAAAAATTAGGTATAGCTTGTTAAATTTCAACTTTAGCAAATTGTAGTTTACAGTATTGTCTTTTTTCTCTTCTTAAACCTATTTACCTGTTTGCATTTCCTCATACTTCATCTTTTTCTATGAAAAATTTGAGGTGGAAAACAAAATTACTCACCATCAAACCCCCTGACCCCCAAAACCAAGAAACCTTTGTTTGGATTTCTTTCATATTTACATCCATTATCTAAAAATAGGTCTAAATTTTTTTAAAACACATTAGATTTTTAATTATATGCTCATGGTAAAAGCTTTAAATGGCCCCGAAGGGTATAGAGTGAAAAAAGCTTCCTGATCACCTTGTCCTTCAATTCTACTTTCTGACAGAGGACTGCCAAGTCTGTCCCACTGCCTGTTTTTGTAAATAAGTTTTTATTGGAACACAGCCACAGTCATTTAACTAGATCCTACAGGTGGTAGAGCTGAGTTGCTGCAACAGATGCCAAATGGCCTGCAAAAACAGAATCTTTTTTTTTTTTTTTTTTTTAAGAGATGAAGTCTCGCTATGTAGCCCAGGCTGGCCTCAAGTGATCCTCCCGCCTCAGCCTCCTGAATAGCTGGGACTAAGAAAATATTTACTATATGGTCATTTAGAGAAAAAAAAATTGCAGATCCCTGCCCTGGAGCAGTATTTCTCAAACTTTGATGTGCATGCTAATTACCAGATCCTATTAAAATGCAGATTGATTTCAAGTTAGAGGTACATTTGCAACAAGTGCCCAGTGATGCTTATATGCTAGGCTGGGGACTACTCTGAGTAGCAAGGTTCAAGAGGTAATAAATGTTAAGACACTGCTATTAATTAAGGATTCTTTTCTATGGCAATTCTTGAATAATGCCAAATGACAAACTGTTTTCAATGATTTCCTGAACTTACCATGACGATATACAAAACCTAGGTGCTAAGGAAAACGATATCTGTGAGGTTCTTTTTCATATACTGTATTGGCAATATTAGAAATTTCTTAATGTGTCAAATTTGAGGGGCTCATTCTTGGTCATACAATGTTCTTTCCATTTCTTCATTCACACGTATTTATTGAACACCTACCATGTTCCAAGTCCTGAATAAGGTCTTTTGCCTTATCTTAAATGTAAAGTATTAGAAGTCTATCAAATGATGCCAGTATTTGCTCAAAAAGAGGCAAAAGCCAGGCACAGTGGTGTGTGCACCTGTAGCCCTCCCATCTACTTGGGAGACTAAGACGGGAGGATCATTTGAGCCCAGGATTTTGAGGCCAACAGCTGGCAACACAGGGAGATCTCATCTCGAAGAAACAACAAAAAAAGGAGGCAAAACTAACCAATGTATTGCTAGATTAAAAAAAAAAATAAGCAAGGAAATGTTAAAATTCAGGCTAGTGGGTATCCTTGAGGGAAGGCAAGAAAACAAGCTAGGAAAGTTATCACACAAGTAAATGATGGAATGATATGGGCAATAGTTTAGATTTCTAAGCTGGCTGATGAGCTCATGCTCATTTTATGATACTGGTTCATGACTTACATAGATATTGTACAAAAAGAAATAAGATAGTGAGGCACAGGGTCTCTTTTAAATGCTCTTTTGGCTTTGAATGCCAGGTGTTCTAAAGATGTTATATGTATTAACTTTTAATTCTCACAACAATTCTTTGGATAGATACATCATTTTCCCACCTGTCATATGAGAAACTGAGGCATAGGGAGTTAATTAACTTTCTCAGATTTACAAAGCTAATATGCAGCAGATTTCAGAGCCAATTGAGGTTCCAAGGTTGCATATGTTGTCACAGAATAACCCTGGAATTTTTTATATATATGAAAAAAATGTTTTAATATGGAACATATCACAAATTTGAGTGTCATTCTTACATAGGGGTCATGCTAATCTTCTCTGTATGTTCCAGTTTTAGTATATATGCTGCCAAAGCAAGCCCTGGAATAATATATTAGGTACTGGTAACAGTGGCTGTCTCTGAGGAAGGGAACCAAAGGACTAGAGATTTGGGGTCGAAAGGAAACTTCCTTTTCACTGTTGAAATCAAAGAATTAGACAGATTCGGCAAGGCAGGGAAACTATACAAGCTAATTCTAAAGATCTTACAAAAAAATTAAAAAGCAAGAATAGCAAGAGTAATTTTTGAAAAAGAAGAATAGTATGATTAGCCCAATAAGCTATTAAAGTATATTATACAACTAAACTAATTAAAACAGTGTAGAACTAGAACAGATAGCTCAATGGAGACAAAGACAAAACAACTAGAATTCAAACCAGAAGGGAAAAGATGGTGTTACAACAATGGCTAGCCACTTGGGAAAAAAATTAAGTTGTATCCATATTTCACATCTAACACCAAGATAAATTTCAGGGAAACTACGGATATAAATGTAAAAATATAAAAGTGCAAAAATGTTAGAAGAAATCATGAAAGCTGATAAAAATAAATTTGAAATAAGGATAGTTTTAAACTGTGACATAAAAATTCAAAAGACATGCACACACAAAAAATACATGAATATTTTTCTAAGGAAAAAAATCTACCGTAAACAAAGTCAAAAGTTCGAAGACAAACTAGGAAAATATTTGCATATTTTATCACAGAGGGCCAGTTTCTACAAATCAATAAAAAAATGAACAACCAAAGAAATTGAAAAAATATATAAATAGACAGTTCTAAGGACAGGAATTACAAATGGCTCTTAAACATAGGAAAAGGCTGAAAACACCTTAAGGGTTCCTTAAGTGGCCTGGTTTAATTAAGGTATACAAGGCAGCTAAATATACTGTCATTTTGAAAAAGGAAGATATATAATAGTGCGTGTAATATGCTATAAAAAGAAAAAATATGTTAATCGGGTGGCTGGGACAGGGATTCATAGCCGACTCCTCACCATATTCCTACCCTTTTGTGCCTTTTGGGTTGGTGTGGTGGTCAAAGCAAGCTGAGGCCAGGATCGGAAGAACTCTCAGGAGGTTGAGTCAGCAGCAGTGTGGCATAGGAAAGAGCCCACAGTGTCAGGTAATTACATGAACGGGAATTGAGTAAATTAGTAAGTATTTGGAAGATAATGGGAGCCAAGTGTCTCACAATCAGAGAAGGAAGGGACAAACAGAGAAATGGGAAAGAGCAGAATAAATCATGTGATGTTGGAACTGAATTAGAGGTACTGGTATGAACTCATGGTTTATAATATATATGGGCAGATACAGAGATAGACGTGTTTGAGTATATACATACGTATATATTTCATAGCTCTGCCTGTACACTGACAGGGCCTAAAAGCAATAACATCACAGTGGCAATGAGCAGGCCTAGCACACAGATCTTGGTTTCTAAATGTCATTCTTCATTAAAAGTGAGATGGGGAACTCACAGGCACTGCTTAACACAGAGTCAAAAGCCCCTAACCACCCTGATCAAAAACATGATGTGAGACCAGGCGCAGTGGCTCATGCCTGTGATCCTAGCACTTTGAGAGGCCAAGGCAGGAGGGTTGCTTGAACCCAGAAATTCATGACCAGCCTGAGGAATATAGCCTGACACTGTCTCTACAAACAATAACATAAAATAAAAATTAGCCAGGCGTGATGGTGCACACCTGTAGTCCTAGCCACCTGGGAGGCTGAGGTGGGAGGAAAACTTGAGGCCAGGAGTTTGAGCTTGCAGTAAGCTATGATGGTGCCACTGTACTCCAGCCCAGGCAGCTATCTCTTTGTTTCTATCTCAGAAACAAAAAACAAAAAAAACAGCAGGATGTGGTGACAGAACAAGTTAGGACAGATTGGAACCAACATGGCAAAAGAATTGGCCACTTGCTGGCCTAGCAGCTCATTATTACCTTAGTTATAACATATTAGCAAGCTAAAAGAAACTCCCACCCACACCATCACCATTCCTGAGAGAGACCTTATAAAGTCAAGAAAGAGGAGGGTTTCCAGTTCTATGAAATTACGGCCTCTTTCTGAGAAATAACATGAATATTCCTCCTCTGCTTAGTCTATGATTAAGCCAGTGCTTAAATAAAGAAATCAAAAGAACCAAAAGGGCTGTTCTCCTCAGCAGGGAGAACTAGCCTCTACTCTGTCCGTGGAGTAGATCTCCTACATTCTCTGAATAAAACTTGCTTTTGCTTTACATTGTTGGCTTGCTCTTGAATTCCTTCTCATGTGAAGCCAAGGACCCACTTGGACTTCAAATGATTCCAAACCTTGCGAAATACTTTCCTGTATCAAAAGGAAAGAAGTCTTCTTGGAGACATGGCTGGGGCAAGGAAAGCATGAGAAAGTAAGGAAATGCTCAAAGAATGATGGT